CATCATATTTATTAATTATTTTCAAACTAAATATTTATTTTTAGAAACTGAATATGTTTTTATAATAAAAATTACAAACCTGTATGATATTTGCTAATAACTCATTGCTAATAATTCATATTTGCTAATAATTCATCACAGTTGTGCATTAATTGAAATGCACAACTGTAATATGACGCTTGAATATCATGATGCTTATCTTTAAATCTTTTACTTATCTGCATGCTTATAAGAGTTTATATTAGTATTTATATTATATCAGTATGTATCTTATCTTAAATCTTTTATTGATCTGTATGCACCCAGAGAAAAAAGTATAGTTCCAAAGACTGATTGCAATAAATTCTATTTGAAACAAACTATCAATTTTATTCTTGCTATAAAAAAAATCTTTGTAATAATGTTTTTTTAATTAATTTTAACCAAAAAATTTATTTTTGTTGAGTACAAAGGAAACATAATAATTTCAGAAGAACCTTTGGGAAACTGGAGGATAACATCATAATGTATATGCAGAGATGTGGTGAAAGGCAAATTTTAATATGATTTTTAAACTTAAAAAGACCTGAGTGGCTATACCGCTAAATATTAATTGGTAGACCCTGGTTCAGATCTCTGCCAAAAAGCTGTCTGCATGGGCATTTTCATATTTTTCCCATATGTAATTAGCCAGTTTCCCATAAAATATAGCATCCTCCACAAAGGCATCTCTCATAGCACAATGTCCTAGTTGATTTGGCTTAATACATTAATCTAATCGATACATCATAAGACCATTTTGCCCCAATATCCATCACTTCACAAAAGTGCTTACTTGGCCTTTATTTTTACAACTGTTAGACATTATGTATATGATTTCCAATTATAGAAACATTTTAAGTAATGCAAATACAGGGTGGTTTTAGAAAAACTTCCCTGATATATGTGAACCCTTAGCAATCTAGCCGCCCAAACATTCGAAATGAAATTTCAGATATTGTTACTTAAAAATATGCAGTCGAGATTGGGATGATTTAAAACAATAGAACTCGCACGTTATGGTTACAGGGGAAAAAATTTGGTATTTTTGAATGGCAACACCCACTTTTTTCCTGCGCAAATTGAACAGTACACTTAAAACCATAAATGGCTTAGGAACGATATATATATATATATATATACATGATAAAAATTGCTGGCATAAAACATTTGAAAAGGAGAGCATTGTGAAAGTACCAATGACAACACACAGAGGAGGTGAATTGATCCACTTGGCATAATTCATAGGGATAGACAGTAGAAGCACTAATTACAGAACACGACAAAGCATTGCTTGTGGAAAACCTTTAATAAGGAGCATGGGAAAAGTGTCTCTTCAGTCAAGTGTTTAGTCATGCTAACAAGATGACACTTACAGGGAAATAATGAGGTGAATTGATAAAACTGTTTTATCTGAAAAGGGAAATGCAGCCGAAGCAGTGCGAATCTATCGACCAAATCATAAGACAAAACTCATATTCTTTAAAAATGTATGTGATTTAGCCAAAAAAGTTGAAGAAACTGAATGCACATGTGATAGACCACGATCTGGATGGCCATGTGTTTCTGTTGAAGTTCTAAAACTGCATATTATGTTACTGCAAGACCGTTGTATACTGCAAGAAGTGTTACCCGCAGTTAGGATATACTGAAAAACCACAGTCCTCAAGCATCTACGCTCTCTTCTGTGGATGTTTCCTTATCAATTCCAGCTCTCTCCCGCCCCCGAGTGTCGACGCAGGAAAACCCGTGAAGCTACTGGCTAGGATCTCTACCTAGGCAGTCTCGGCTTTTCCACGGGGCATAAAATCATGAGCCTGGAGGTTCCACATGCCTGGTTGGGAGGTACCTTGGCCCAGTCAGGTAGGTTAGCGAAAGCCCTCTTAGTACTGGTAGATGCAATTAACGACCAGTCAAATCTCCAGGTGTGCATGCTCCCTGCCGCTGTGAATCCTGGGAACCAGGAGTGGTGACCCCGCGTACCTAGGAGGTAACAGTGGTCATAGAGAACTTTTATGTTTGCTCTCGGACTGCTGCCCCACGTCAGTCAGTTTATTAATTTAGGATGCAGTCCGGCCCGCCTGACGAGTGAAACTCATCTTATGACTCAAAGGGCTGTGCCCAAACCTGGGGCGGTAGCATGATAAACATACATTTTTCCTCTTGGTAGTTTATGAGCGGTGATCTACCCCCTGCCTAAATATGGGGGTCTTTCAGTTGGGACCGGTCCATGCAGTGTTGTATGGCGGAACACGTTTAACCAATATTATTATTATTATCCTCAGTCCATACTTCTTCAAAGAGGTCATTTCTACGGGTATAAAATTATACCCCATCATAAGTGCTCGATATACAACAGTATTGCAGAATTACCTAATTTCAGGATTGCAGCAGCAAAATTTTATTAATGACATTGTATGGATGCAAGATGGTGCTCCTCCAACATCGCCACATGGGTTCACCAAGTGCTGCAACTGCAGTTTGTAGATTTACCTTCTGTAATTTTGCAGTTTCATAGCCATTGCGATCCCCTAACCTCACTTCAATAGATTTCTGTGTCTGGGGTTATCCGAAATCTGAAGTGTATACATCAAATCCACGAGATTTGTCAGTATTGAAAGATATTGTAAAATGTGAAGTTATGCAGATTCCTCCTGTGATGTTGGGTTCATTAATGTTGCCAACAATCTCCTTCATGCAATGTATTATTGTCTGCGTAGGTGGTCATGCTGAAAACTTGCAATTCCAATAAAAAAAATTTCCCTTTCCTCTCTTGTGTTCTTTACAATGCTTTTCTTTGCAAATGTTTTATGCCGTAAATTTTCATCATATGTGAATCATTCCAATGCCATTTATGGTCTTTTACTGCGCTAAAGCAGTATGCACAGGAGCAAATCAGGTGTTGCCAACTAAAAAATTTCTTCATAGCAGCTATGATTATGAGCGCTCTATTTTAAATCATCACAATCTTAAGCATGTACCTTCAAATAAGAATATCTAAAATTTCATTTCAGTCATTTGAACGGATAGGCCGTTAGGTGTTCATATAACAGCGAAGTTTTTTTTATGACCAACCTGCATTTCCAAATTAAAAAGGAAATCAGGTTTGTAAAAATTACAAAATATTACTTTTAATACATTTTCCTGGTCCTAATATTTAAGAAAGTATTATATTCACTAGAAAAAATAAAATACAAAAAGGTGTAATGCCCATATGACAAAAATTGGCAGAGACATTTTATTTTAAAATTTAGGATAACTTTTCTTGAAAACTCAGGGGTGGTATACGAATTGAATAGAGCAATATTTAAATTTAATGTCACTAAAGATAAAATATCCCCCCAGCTTAGGGAATGGTCTCTAATATTAATAGATTAAGTGGCAAATATTGATACACAGGCTGCCGTGAAAAGTTTTAACGAAAGCAAAACTTTTCAGTAAAAGGCTCTTAATATTGAGCTCAAAATGCAAATGGCCAGAGATAATTAAAAAACAGTTCTCTAAGTGAAACAAGAATCTGCATATTCTTTTAAATAGGGAAAAAATTAAAGATGTTTTATTTTTGGGAAGGGATAATCAATAATCTAAATGATGTATTTCAGAAGTTAATAAAAATAACTCTATTAACTACTTTTGCTCTGCAAGCGATGACTGCTGACCCTTAAACTTTTAAAAGCTTCTTTTTCTTGCCATTCCTTTCTTACTTTATTGAAACTTCATTAATGGAAAATTGAATAACAATGGAAAATGGAATGAATGAATGGAAAATTTGAATAACAATTAAATTATGATTTAAATGGCATAAATAAGGAAGAACTCCTCGCTGAGAGAGAAATACTTCAGAGCTTTATTTCTATTACTGCTTAGAAAGACCAAGCCGAGAGGTGGAAGGGCAGTCGATTTGAACTTCTACAACATATTGTAAAATACAGTCCGAAAAATAAAATACCAGATGTTGCTGATTCTACCTTAAGTTTTCTCACAGTTTCTGAATTATTTATTGTGAAAAGCGATTTTCTAGACATTAATAGATTAAGAAGCACCTAAGACGTAAAAATGAGTATACTTTATTTAATAAATTCTGTTCCGTCTTGAGAAGAGCAATTGGAATTATGAAACAAACTTGTAGAATTTCACCAACAGTTTTGCTACAGATAAGCAAGCAGTATAGCTTTTTAAAATATTTGAATTAGAATTTTGTTTCAATTCCCGGTATGTTGTTTTGTCAGTTTATAGATTTGATTTTTTGTTGTGCATTGAGAGGGGCGACATATGGATCACCTTCGGTGGGAAAAACTCTAGCTGTGCCACTGATATGTTCGGATGTTCTGTGGTCCCTGATGTTGCAGCAATCGGAGATGATTTCATTCTCATAGGTGATAATGCCAAGCCGCATCGTGCTTGTCTGTTGCGATGTAGGATTCCTTCAGGAGCGGCCAGCATGAACCCAACTGAACATATTTGAGGTATTCCAGAGAGAAGGGTTACTGGTCTTTTATCAACTCGAAGAGTTCAGCTGCTGAAACTCCAGTCCCTTCTCGACAACCTCATTGATTCTATACCTCACAGGTGTGCAATATTGCTTTCAGTCAGGGTGAACCATACTTCCTTTTAGAAATCATTTTTATTTGGAAAAACTGCTTTTGTTTTCTTGTTCATTTTTATAATATGTATTAAGACTTATTCTTTTTCCCTAAAAAAAGAAAAGAATATATTTTAATTATTCCTTCTAATGTGTGTAATTTTTTTTCTCGTAGCTTTTAATACTTATGAATCGTATTTCTGCTAACAAAACTGTTCCTCATCTGTAATTTATATGTAAAAGCGTAATGTTCCAAATTGTTTTGAGCAGCGTAGTATCCTTTTTCTTTAGTCTCTAGAAAGTCATTTTAATATGAATTGACCATATGTATTTATAAATAATTGATATGATTTATGAAATGATTATTAGGTATTGTATTTAGTTTTATATTTATTATTAGGTTCTTCTGTCAGCTGCTGTTTTATATCTCACTGATGATGGATTTGCTGCAATAACCAATAATGTAAGAGATATGGCTTGCACTACGAGATGTGCACTGAAGTTATTCCTGTCTAAGAAAGACCCTTTTTCGATCAATGCACCTTATATGAATATAATTGAAATGCTTTTGTCATCTATGCAAGCAGATTTTAATTGTTTAAAGTATGTATCAAATATGATATGAATTTGACATGCATGCATTAAAAGTAATATCTGATTGATGATTATCATCCTTCAAATACTTACAGAAATGATTTTGGAAAAAATGTTAAGGATAAGAATTTTGATGACATACAAAATGAAATCCTAGAACTAACTACTAGCAAACTCATTCAGATGCCTTCTGGTGAGTATGAAATCTCTTCGTCTTTAAAGTTTTTTTTTTTTTTTTTTTTTCTCTTCGAGGCACATAGTATATAATATTAGCTGTGTTTTTTATTCTGCTTGGGTAGATATCAGTGAAAATAAAGTTACAGATAGTTAGTAAAGCAACAGTACTCATATAAATTTGCTTACTTAAACTGAGAAAACGTATACGTAAATGTTTCTCTATTTTGAGGAATTCATTGCTAGGGCCATCAGAGAATTCTGGTGCAAGTTACTTTTAAGTTTTTTTAGTACTCTGTAGAGATATTTGTACTATACACTAAAATTATATATATATATAAAGGAAAAAGTTATAGTCATATGAAATTTTCAGATATCATAATAATTATTACATATAAACAGTAAGCATTATCCTCATGAACTTACCTTGCACAGCTCCGTCTGCGGCGCGTCTTCTTGTCTGGCCTAATTCCTAGGCTTGCGGCATCTTGCCGTGGCCTTCGAGAAAGGCCACGATCTTGCTCGCCCCCCTTCTGCCTCACCTCATTCTCTTAACTCCTACCACGTCAGACTTCCTACCGTCATGTGCCTACTGGCTCTCCTCATGAGCTGGAAACAGCGCGCTCCGCGCGCTACTACTTGTTACTACTATAGCCATACTTGTTCTATATACTACTACTATAGCCATACTTGTTCGGATCGGATCGGATCTTATCGTTGCTTGTATTATTCTGCTAGTGTTTGTACTTACTTATTTCTGCTTGCATGTAACTCTGCGTGTATCTCTGCATATCTCGGTAATAAATATTTGCTTTGCGAACCACGGCATTTTCTATGTTTAACAGCAGAGCGTGGTTCCTTCAAAAGTTAGAATTCGCTGATATTTTCCCTAATTGAATCTTCAGTGTAATAATTTATCGTTCGCGTGATTTTGATTTGGTGTTTCGTGAATGATGGCTTTTTCCGGAGGTGAAAGGGAAGCCTTTGGTGTAGCACCATTTGACGGTGTTAATAACTTTACTGTTTGGTGTCGAAGAGTTCGAGCAGTATTTACGGCAAGGGAATTGGATACGTTTTTGGAAACAGAAGCAGTTGCGGACAGAGTTGCAGATGTTTTGAAATCAAAAAAGGCTTATGCCTTAATACTTGCGCTTCTAAGTGATAATGTTATTGCTTCTCTTCAACGTGAAGACACTGCATGTAAAATATGGAAGAAACTACAAGCTACGTATAGCGCTAAAGGTGCAGTGAGTCAAATTTTAACGCGTAAGCGTCTAGCTACCATAAGGAAATCCAAGGATGTGTCAATGAGACAGCATATTGACAGCATAATGAACCTGGTGAGTAGTCTACGCGTCTCTGGCTCTGAAGTAAGTGACTTTGATATTATTATTTACATTTTAATGTCTTAGCCAAAGGAATATGAAAATATTAAGGCATCTCTAGAGAATCAGCCAAGCAATAATTTGAGTTTAGATTTTGTTACAAGTAGACTTATTGATTGTGAATCTCTTATGTTTAATTATAAAAATGAAAATAAGTATTCTAAACCAAATACAGATAACTCTGTTCTTATTAGTGCTCGTAAAGACTTGTTTTGTACTTATTGTAAAAGAAAAGGACATTCTGTTAAATTTTGTAGGAAAAAGAACTGCGTCTGTCATAACTGTGGGAAAACTGGTCATTTCAAAAAGTGAATGTTTTGATAATTCTAAAAAGCAGGCAAATTCAAATAGTAATAAGTATGCATTCCCCTGCAATATCTTTTATGGCTGGAAATCTTGTGCATGATCAATTTATTATTGATTCTGGTGCAACTTCTCATATGTCTTCTCACAAGGAATGGTTTACCTCAATTAAGCCTAAGACTGGAACTGTTAAGTGCGCGTCTAAGTCGGCGGTTTTAGAAGTGAAGAGAAATTGGTGATATTTGCGGTAAAACTAAGAATGGTGTTGAAATAATGTTAAAAGATGTTCTTTACGTTCCCAAATTAAACGGACAATTAATTTCTGTCAAAAATATTGAAGCAGCAGGTTTGAGTGTAATTTTTAAAAATGAAATAGTTTACATTGAAAACAATAACAAACGTTTTCGTTTTGGATACTTGGAAAAATGCGGACAATATTTTAGTGATTTTTCACCAAATTTATTTACAGCTTTAGCAGTAAAGAATGATGATTTATGGCACAGAAGGTTAGGACACTGCTGTGATCAAAAATTAAAACTGATGAATCTTCCTGCAAAAGAATCCTTTTGTGAAGTATGTGTTCGTGCCAAACAAAGTGCTTTGCCTATAGGAAAGGGTCCTCGCATAAAAGAATCCAAACCGCTTATAACTATACACACTGATATATGTGGTCCAATAGAACCTCAAACACTCCATGGGGAAAAGTATTTCATGACTATAATTGATGACTATTCGAGATTTATGGAAATCAAGACTGCTCAAAAGAAAAAGTGACATTGCTTGATGAACTTCAAGCTATTCTTTAAATTGAATCCAACTGTTGCAAAACTGCGCTGTGACAATGCCAAAGAATATGTCAGTGGAGAATTGCATGAAGTTGCTAAAAGAGCAGGTGTAAAAATAGATCCTGCACCTCCCTATACACCTTTTCTAAATGGTGTTGCTGAACGAGCAAATAGAACTGTACTGGAAAAAGCTAGAGCAATGATACTTGAGGCAAAATTACCAAAATTCCTTTGGGGTGAAGCAGTACTTACGGCTGCTTACATAAATAATCGACTCCCAAATAGTTCAATTGACAATCGTGTTCCTTATTTTCTGAAGTATGGTGAAAATCCTGATTTAACAAACATGCGTGTATTTGGCTGTGATGCTTATACTCTAGTGCCACCATCGCAAAGAAAGAAACTAGATGAAAAATCTGTCAGAATGATATTTGTAGGTTATTCCACAATGGGATATCGTTTAATGATTCCAGAAACAAGACGCATCATTGTTTCCAGAAATGTTAAATTTAATGAAGAAAAGAAGAAAGTAGAAAATCAAAAATATATTTCCGATAGTTCTGATTTGAGTGAAAATGACAATGATGACATTAAAAATGAAGACAAATCAATTTCAGACACTGATAACGGCGAATTAAATGCTGCAAATAAGAAGGAGGAACAAAGAAAATCTTCAAGAGAAAAGAAACAGCCAGTTAGGTATCCTGATCCTGAGATTTACCAAGTAATGTTTGCACAAGACACTCTGACATTTGAAGATATTGTAAATCTACCACAAGTAGAACAAGAACCATGGAAAAATATTTCCATGGTTCCATATATATGTCCATTCCATATATATGGACGAGGAAATGAAATCTATGGAAGATAACGACGTCTGGGACCTACAAAGTTTACCCCCTGATAAAAGAGCCATTTCCTGCAAATGGGTTCTACGTAAAAAAACGAGATGGAACTTACAAAGCGAGGCTTGTTGCTCGTGGTTTATGCAAAAGGAAGGCATAGATTATACAGAAACGTTTTCTCCAGTGATTAGTATGTGCTCTTTACGTTTAATCCTGGTAATTATCAATAATGAAGGTTTGCAAACTTTTACTTTAGATGTCAAGACAGCTTTCTGAATGAACGGTAAGTTAGATGAAACCATCTACATGGACCATGTGTGCTCTAAAAAGAATTTCTTAGTAGACTTGAAAAACAAATCCAAATGAATTTAAAATTGATAATTTTTGGGTACTGAAAAAGGGTTGATTGCAAAGGGAAAAAACTTGTGATGCAGATGCAGATTGGGGGGGGGGGAGATACTCAAGATAGGAAATTCAATTACTGGTTACTTTATAATGTTTTCAAACTGCCTCCTATTATGTGGTGCTGTAACAAACAAAAGTGTATTGCACTTTCATCAACAGAAGCTGAAATAATTGCTTTATGTAAAGGTATTCAAGATGTTTTATGGATAAAAAATGTAGTAAATGAAATTTCCAGTGTTAAAAATGTTTATATTTTTGAAGGATAACCAGTCATGTATCAAAAGTATTGTTAATGAAAACTTTTCAGGTAGGTTGAAACATATAGATATAAAATTAAAGTTCACTCGTAAGACTGTTAAGGAAAATAATATTAGAATTGAATATGTACAATCAGGTTTACAAATTGCAGATATGTTAACTAAGGCTTTTTGTCCAAAAACAAAATTCTATGAACTGTTATCATTTGAGCTGTTTAAAAATTGTGTAATTCTTTTATGTTTTGTATAATGTGCGATTAAGGGGGAGTGTTGAGATATTTGTAATCGCATTCTTACTGGTTAAAAGGAAGTATAGCTTTCTGTCAAGTCCGAAACATTCATTAGCTTTCAGCCAGGTCCGAGTTATTCTGAAACTTAATCCCATTCTGTATGTTACTTTTGATTGGTTATTTATTGTGTCTTGTTTATGATTTGTTAAACCATGATCTGTTATAAAGTTATATATATGACCTCTGTAACCTCTTATCGTTGAATTGTGTTGTATAGTTGTTTTGTATTGTGTTGTATTTAGCACTACTGATTGAGGTTGTTTAATTGTATTTGAATTTGTCATTGGAACTATTGCTGTAGTGTATCTTCTCATATTGTTGTCATTGATTTACATTGTCTTGGGTCTTCCTTGAAGTTACGATCGCTCGTCACGTTTGCGAACTTGTCCGATGGATTGTCTTGCTCCTTTTGGTACTTCTCTTCTTCCCTATATCGTTTCTCATGAGTTTTTCTCCTTTCGCAGGGAGACCGTGGTTGAAGGTCGGGTTTTATTCGCTCTTCAGTCAGGTTTCCGTGTACGTCCGATTACGAGGTAGGCGGAGTCTAACTCGTGTGCCTCGTGTTCTGGTTAAGCCTACTTTTTCGCCGCGATTGCGTATAATTGTCTTATCACATGCCATTAATGCTGGTTTTGGTGATTGATTTTCTCGATATGATTGCTTATTAAATTCATTTTTAGTAAGTAATTAATTTCGTCTTTTCCAGGTCATTCTAACTTTAAAACTCAGTGATTTGTCTGGATTTTGGATTGCTTATTCCCGCATAGTTACCCCCAAGCTTTCGCTTCAGGTGATTGTCAGGGGCCTTGCGGGAATTTTCGCCAACACATCCGCCTGTTAGGACACCATCGAGTGGGCCTAATTCCGGGGTGTTGGACTCCTATGTT